ATAAATAATAACAACAATGCACGGGTGACAATGAACCATTTTATCTTTGTGATTTATATATACATTTAATTTTGATGAGCTTTAAATGATAAAAAGAAAGTGCAATCAGTTTTTGACCTCAGATAAATTAAATCAGGGCTCTCCTCTGTTAATGGTGCAACATCTGAGTAATTTGTTACTGGTAGGTCAGACAGAGTTCATGGTTTCAAATCCAAGAGTCTCTGATATCACTTCTACAGAGACACCACGTCAGAAAGGAAAATATTAAGTGTAATACAATTAGATGATTGGGACGACAGCTGCATGACGAGACACTACACCACAAAATCCCCAAATGTTACTTATTTTCCTGTTTCTCTTTTCCAAGGCTGTCATCTTGGTAGTTCCTCATTCTGTCTGCTTCTCACCTTCCCTGCCTTCCTCCCTGTCTTCCTGCGGGCTCTCTGTCTCTCTGAGAAAAGAACGCCTGCCTTGAACGCTGTGCTTCAGACATCCTTCGGTTTCTTTCTTCGTCTTTCAACAAGCAGGCCTCAGCCCTGCCTGGAGTGGCCTGGGGTCTGAATTGGGCGAGTCGCTTGTGCCCCTCCTCCAGCAGTTTCAATTCTCTGAGACAGATATCCAGCAGGAAGTCTGGAAGCAGTGTAGGAGTGTGGTTCTGTGGACTCGTTTGTAAAAAATGTATTGTCCTAATTGTGCACTGTTACCAAACATTTGTCTGTGTTTTATTCCAATTTGCTTGTTGTTACTAAACTTTCCACTAGCTTTGCCATGTTTATGTTGCGTGATTGCTAATATTATAATATGATAACTTACCTTAGTCATCAATTACAAGGATGTTATAACTAGTCTTTTAAATGTTTACTTAATAAATCCTGGTTTTATTCTAGTCTAGTCTGCCTTATTTTACTCTTACGTCTGCAGGGCCTTCTTAGCCTCAAGACTTATTTACCACACCACTGCACGGTGCATGCGACATCGCCATGGATACTAGGTTTGTAAGAGCCCATGAAAAAACGTCAGTGACCTTTCTATGATGGCACATATCCTCACTCTGTCAGCCACAAAGCTTGGGGCAAGTGAAGGCCACAGCTGTTCAACAAGAGAGGAGATGGAGGACGCCAGGGACAAGGTGACAAGGTTTATAACATACGTATCACTCTCAGAGATACAGATTCCTGATTGGTCAAACACAACTGTGGGATTATCCAATTAAGATAGGGTAAGGCAGAGGTGACATGTCTGCTTTTTTCAACTGAATATTCCAGGTCTTCATAGAGATCCAATCTTCCACTAAATCAAGGAAAGAAAGTCGACACAACCTCTTGTTGTGGTACTACTTCCGTGGGTCTTGTTTTGTAAACATTTTTGGACAATTTCAGTGCTCCACTTCTAGAAAGAGACAACATTGATGCAAAAATTAGAAATGAAATTTTTATGTTTTCGAAATGAATTTGAGTATATCAGCTGGATGTTTTAGAGAGGAAGAAAGGGCACAAGGTTTTGAGAATTCCCCCAATAAGTACTAAACCTCCAGAGATTTTGTTTTGTATTTAGTTGGATTGATGAGGATTTGGTACTCTGTAACTGCTTGTCTTCTGTGATACCAGATTGACAAGCAATGCAGCACTATAAGTTCCTAACCTATGGCTCATATTGTTTTTCAACAAGAATTTGTTTCTTTTTTAGCAGCTGCTGAAAATATCACCATGAAAATATCAAAATGACTTACTGATAGGCCAGTGCCAAGTCTCTGCCTGATGCCCAGGTTACAAGATCTGTGTGTTCTACGTTTTAAAGACAGTTCTTTAACAAGCAAAAAGCGAACAGCAGACCAAAGCTGTACACCTCAAGAAGGTGACTATGAATAGCTGTGGATCTGAAAGATAAAGTCACCTGAGAATTATTTATTACGAAGAACAAATATTTTAGATGTTTAAACATTGCTGCTGGACTGTGGTCCTCCACACCCTTGTTTTGTACTGCCATGTTCACGATCAACATAACATCCAGCAATGCAGTCAAGCATACAGCTCGCTTTTATAAGCCTTTGTCAGGTGAGCTTTGTTAAGCAAGGCTTTTTAGATGCATAGTGACAGGAGAGCACGGATTTCTATTCTTCAGAGTATTGTCATTATTTTTTTCTGTTAAATCTCTAACTACACTTAGCTTTTCAGCCTGTTTGCATTCCCCGGAGAGACTGTTTAATGTAAAGTTTTAACGACCCCAGCCCCCACTCCACCTAAGGGACCACTCTCGTTCAAACCTGTTTTTCTCCCTCAGATGGAAGGGGTGGAGGGATTTATGTAAAAGTAAGAGGTCATTCTGCTGTAAATCTCTGCCACTATGGGAAAAGAATGTTTTGGATTACATTTTGAGAACCTTTCCAAAAAGATTGAAATTTATTGAATGATTGAAATTCCAGTGTGACCTTTTTGATAGAGAAATTCAAAGGAAGCATTTTATTTTACTTCAGATGTCTTAATGGCTAAACTGACATTCTAGATGGATCACTAGTTAGTTCTCTTCCCTCCAGATGAGATTTTTCCAAGCAGAATCCCAGTATGGTGACTGGGGTCACTGTTATAGATCAGGGGGTGCTGTTCATTGGATGACATGTTAATTTGAAATCCCAAATTATTAAAAATCCATAGGCACTGTAAGAGAAGAGGTCTTGAAAATATTATAATTATTATTGCTGCTCTTACAGCTACAGCCTGGTTGGAATTATATGATAGATTATGTGGATATACAGACAGAATTCCCTCTGATTGTGCTGTACCTCCCAGTGGACAGACAGTATTCCCATTGCCTGTGCTGTACCTCACTATGGATATACAGACAGAATGCCCACTGCCTGTGCTGTACCTCTCTATGGAGATACAGACAGAATTCTCATTGCCTGTCCAGTACCTCTCTGTGGATATACAGACAGAATTCCCATTGCCTGTGCTGTACCTCCCTATGGATAAACAGATAGAATTTCCATTGTCTGTGCTGCATCTCCCTGATAGATAGGCAGAATGGATATTGTCTGCATTGTATCTCCCTGTAGATAGACAGACAGAATTCCCGTTGCCTGTATTGTGCCTGCTTTGTAGATACATGAACCAAGCCCCTGTCACCTGTAGCGGATTTGGTTTGGAAGGACAGAGGTGGCAGCAGACTGGCTCTAGGTTGCACAGAATCCCCATTTTACTGTGTTGTACCACCTTAATGGATAAACACACAAAAAAATCTCATTTATTGTATGTTGTTCCTTTTCTGGAGGCAGAAAGTTTTGGATGAAAAGCTAAATATCTTACAAGGTACAGCTTTGGGGGTTATTTTGGAGTGATATTGTTTTATAAAAACAAGGAAGTTACTATGAATGCAACCATTATTTTTTTCTGTTTCACAATTCAAGAAAATTATTTTGAATGTGAAAATTGGTAATTAGTAGGTAGGTGTACCAATCTCTAATTGCCTGTCAATGGCTAGTCTATGGATAGGAAGGAAGTGCTATGAACTCAACTGATTTTCAGTTTCAAGGATTCAATATAAAGTAAAAAGGAACTTCTTCCACAGAGCTGCTCCTGTAATGCTGCTGAGTGTTATTTGTGCTAGACATAGCCTGCTGATAATCAATACCACAAGAGGAACCTTAACAGGCCAGACGTTTGAAAATTCATCATGCTCATATATGGCCATATCTTCCTGAAAAAGATGAGTCTCATGGCCTTGCATGCTGCTCTAGGCCAGACTACACTGTTATGGTGCGTGACTGAGCAGAGGAAGTTAGTTCTGGTTCTCTCTCCGAGACACATCTTTCAGCATTTATTAAGAAGTACCACATATCTGCATCACTTCCTAGGTGGACCACACTTAATGTTTGTCAAAAGAGCAGATCTCTTGGCTGTCCCTTAGCCAAAAAAACAGTCCATTTTAAGACTTCTGTTATGACAGAATTGTTTCAACAGCCTGTACAGATCTTTGAGCAATAGTTTGTCGGACATCAGTTTTATGATTTACTCCTTTTACTACTAGGCTTTCCTCTACCTTCTCCTGTTTAGATATGGTTACTCCTGCTGTTTCACCACATTGGAATTACCCAGGTAATCTTGGACTTTTTCTTAGTGATCAAAAAATCTAAAGATAGTTTTCAGTAGACTATGTGGCTTTCCTTCCAGCAGGAAAAAAACAGGTTTTCTGAGATCTGAATAGAACTTGTTTCTCATATTCTATTCAAATTGCCAGTGTGTCATTACAATTTTTAGTGCTATGCTCCCCTTTGTTGCATGTCTAAAGTGTTCCCTACACTGTGTGATGTGCGCGTAATGCATTAGGTAAATTACTAGACCTCAAGATATGTTACACCTGCATGAGTTTAAATTGTTTTTATAATACCATGAATTTTCTTTTGGCAGCCCCCATAAGACTTCTTGGGCACAAAAGAAAACAGCAAATAGTCAACAAAATAATTTTTATTCCTTCATTCCAGTTTTAATTTTCTTCTCTCAGATTTCCATGCTGCAGAACAAATCACAGCTCTAGAAGCGACGTCACAGGTGGCTGTTGACCACAGAGCTGTTCATCCATAAGAACAGTGGTGTCCTGTCACAGGACAGAACACTCATTAGGGAAATGAAAAACAGCCAGGCTGTCTCCTGTTCAGGGCTGAGAGACACCCGGTCCCCAGCACTAGTGTTCATGTTTGCCTCCAAACAAAACACAGAGTTTCCGTATCAACACTAAGCCCGCATTCCCAACATTTTTTCACTGAGTTTTCTTTCAATTCACTTTTTGTCTTCACCCTGTTGCTGTTTTTATTTTGCTTCTGTTCCCCCACCCCCCATATTCCAGGAAAACAGAGACGACTTTGCCAAACACAAGTACTTACAGCACATCAAGGTTCTTGTTCATGTGATCACTTATTATTACGGATGACAACAGTAGGAAGCAGGATTTGTTGCGAAATGTTTCCCCAAAAACATGTCTCGGCAAACTGCTTTTCCGAAAGACAACAGACAGATATTTGTTGCTTGACAACAAATGTCACGCCGGTGCTATGAATTTTGTTAACAAACAAGGCTGTTCATTGTTCTGCTAAATAAAAGCACTTCCATGTACTGTATAAAATATGTTTTTCTGATAATCAGACTATTTTATAGAGTCACGGTTTCTTCTGCAGACTGAAACAGGATTGAGCACTCATCTTTTTTAACTGACCCCTGGCTTATGAAAATAAACACAAGTGTAACTGTCCAGTTTCTCGTGATGTTTGTGTCCCTGGAGCATAAATATTGTTTCAGCATAACCGTTTGATGCAGGCCCTGTGTGACACCCAAGTTTGACCTGATGGACACAGACATGCGAGTTGTTTCTTCACTGCCTGCTTAAAGTTTAGCTGCTACTGTTTTATCCATGGGTCATGGCCACTCACTGTAATATACTGGTATTTATCAGCATCTTTATTTGTGTGGCCTAACTAATCTTTTCCTGGTGAGTCAGTGAGTACATGAACATACTGCTAGACACCAACACTTACTCACAGTTGGAGTGGGAACTGCGTCGTGTTTATTTTAGCTCTGTTTTTCTTTAAATTGTTATGCTGAAAGTGAAAAGTGGAGGAAATCCCAGTCTGCTTGTTACTGAATGTCTTGTGACAATGTGGGGATTTTTTAAATAGAATTATTACGCTTCGTTTTATTATTGGCAGCACCACACAAGGAATTTCCACTGGTTGTTAATGAAAGAAGAGAGGAGAGGTAGTTTTCTTGTTTTAGTAATTCATTGCGCGTTGTTTTCGGCAGCACCAGGTGGCGATGATCTGTTCTCTACTTGTTTTTTTGTGGTACCTTTTAATTTCGCTACATCACTTGTTCCGGGCACTCTCCGCCCCCAGCCTGTCTCAGCAGCCGAGGTCCGACACGTCGGAGAAGATCCAACTGCTGTGTATTGCTGACGTCCGGTGGACTAATGAAAAATTGCAGCTTCAGACTGCTAACCTTTCCCCTAGATTAATTTCCAGCAGTAACCAAGGACGGTTAAAGCCGGTTTAACTCTTTATTTACTTCGAGTAGTCTCGTCCTTTTATCTCGCATGGCAACCTCCAAAACTATTTGTTTACGTTTTTCTTTGGTCAATAACTGCGTCACTTTGTCTATAAAGAATTTGGTGCGCACACAACACAATCGTGAATGCAACGGAAGAAAAATGTACACCCACGCCTATTTCCATTTGCTGAATTATTAAGCGAAATGCGTTTTTATTATAAATGCACGTGACTGCACATCAGGTTAAGGTTACTGACCGTGGAATCATGCTATTTAGTGGCACGTAGGATTGCTAATGAAGTAATTTAGAATATATTAGATATTTTTCAGTTCTTTTATCCGTATATACTGTATATATAGATACCTAAATATTCTAAAGCAATTGTGAGTCGCTGGGACAGCTCTGAATCTCATCAGGCCCGTGTTTGGTTACTCCGTCTGTGTGACCACTTAGTAAGCCATGCATTGATAGGCCGAAGAGGGTCTGAGGTGCGTCGCTTGAGTCATGAGAGCATGTCTGGAGCGGGTTGCCGGGTTCTAGGCTGAGTCAGTGGGCTGAGCCGGCCAGATTGTATCCACGAGTCTGTTTTTACATCTGTTTGTGTTACTAACAACAGCAACAACAAACGTGCCTTTTAGGATATACATAAAAATAGTAATATTAAATTGAAATATTAAGCGTTTATGTTTATGTGTTTTGTTTATAGTTTTAGAATGCAGTAAATCCTCCGTTTTGGTAGCGCGCTGAGAAATAGCGTACTACATGTTTTTTTCAGTAGTGTGCGGACGCCCTCTTGTGGTTATCTTGTGGTCACGTCCGCCAACAGCCAGCGTGACTCTTGTGGCTGTCCTAAAGCCACAAGCGTTTTAGTGCGTGACTCTTGTGGCTGTCCTAAAGCAGAGTTCAAATTTACCGATCAGCTAACATTTCCTAATTCGGCTGAAGCTGTTAAACCGAAACTTTTGTGGTGTTTCTTTGTATAAACCAATGAGGATTTCACCTTTCTAAGGGCTCCTTTCACAGAATCATTAAAAAAATAGGAATCCCAAGTTTAAATATAAAATGAAATGGATATGTAATTATTTTATCTAATGCTATTATTCGCTATTAATGAACCTGAAGACCCAGGAGATGTCTAGTCCGGCTGGAATAAAACCCAGAAGGCATAATGTGCCTCCAGCGCTGGAGGAGCCACTGTTCTGAGCCACACATTGCTTTGTGCTGCCCTCTGTTGGACTGTCACAGCTCTGCTCTGTTTGACATACAGTAATCTGTCGAGACTCAGGGTACTCTCCAGCTGTGCACTAAACTCTGTTGTACTCCATTGACGTGTGTTGACCTTTAATAACCCATGATGTGCTGACGAGAGCCCTTCTGCCGCTCTGAAACCATAGACAATAGTGGTGATACTGGATTTATAATTTTGGCCACTGGCATGACTGCAAATCAGGATGCAAAAGCCTTTGTGCAACCTGATTCTAAACTTTTTATACTATTATTATATTAGCAACCTCTCCTTGGCATATTTATTTTTGTGGGGCAATAAGTATTAAAACAAAATTTAGGATTGCCCCAAAATTAAATGAAATACAACTATATCTCCAAATAAAAATGACTTATTCTCAAAAGAAATTATGCACACATTGGGACACAAATTCATGCAGAATTAAGACCAACTACAATTTAAGTGGCTAAAAATGAAGTAGGTAAAAGACCTCAGCCCTGTTGAGGCATCGTTCATGTCCTGAGCGATGGCTCCTTAGTATAAGAACTAAAACTTGAAGAACAGTTGTTGACCTAAGGTGTGATTAGGTTCTTCCTTTAGTTACTTACCGGTGTTATTTTTGATTGACGTCACTAAGCAGGCTAACGTCAGTGAAGCCTTGTCTGTGGTTTGAGATAAAAGAACACAATTCCTTTTTTCTTTCGTTACCAAACAGCTTTACTTGAATCAAGCCTTTGTGTTTCTTTAATCCTGTACTTTCTGCTTCCTTTTTGGCTCTGAAGAACGATGTTCTGTTTATCAATTTATGCATTCACGAGTATAACCTCCATACTTCAGAGAACAGCTTGAGCCCCCCTCACAGAGTGTCAGGGCAAAGTGTCTCGCGATGGCAAACTCTGTGGAGGATCCACATCTTGAACCGGAACACTAGTGTGGTCATCCCAGACTCTAATGGAGTTCTTCACTGTCCTGTATTCTAGATTAGCCTGACAAGATCCTGGTTTGGAAGATGGAAGAGTTCTGTGCTATCCCAGACACTGGTGCAGTCTCTTTGCTGTGGCTGAGATCACTTGTGTCTGCTCAGTGGTAGTCAATAAATATGTGATGCCCCTGGACTCCGGATTCAATAATTCAGTCTGTTACAATGGCCACATCAATGATACTGCACCATAAGTTGAAATGTAAGGTACAGTTGGGAGTCAAGAAATGAATATTTATATTGCTGCTTAAAAGAGATTAAACCAGATGCACAAAAAAGGTTTCCTGCATTGCCTTCTTAGTTTCAAAAAGACCCTGTTGTAGGTGTATTGTTGGCATGACATTTAGTAAAAATGCAACTCTCATTTTCTTGTTTTTCTTGTTTAGGCTCCACAAGAGCCTTATTAAAAACGTACTTGTTCAGCGGCTCTATTGACGACTCTTATTGCTATACAGGTGCACTTGAGAATGAACACTTAAACAATAAAGAGTTCTTTGATTTTAGTCCAACTGCTTAAATTCCAGTCACCTAAAACAGGCGAGCTCTCAATCTGCAAAGCAGAGCTTACATTGAGACAGCTCAGGCATCTTGGTAAAGTTTTGCAGGTTGAAAGATTTGGTAAGGCGGATTCTAATTGCTAATCGCATTACATTATTCAAAAGCTGGAAGAAGTTACAAGAAAGGCCTAATCAGACACTTAATGGCTTCTTTGACCCCAGTAATTAAGAACTCATTTTATAATGAAAGCCCAAAGATGTAGTCATCCTTCAGGAACATGTGCAGGGGTCTTTGGTTTAAACAAGACCAGTGGTTCACTGGTCCAGTGATGAAGGAAAAGGCTAACAGGTTAACTTAATGCATCTGCAGCCATAACCACAGGCAGGGACGTACATACTCTATAATAATATTCTGATGCAGGCTACAAAAGAATACGCACATTTCTAATTCTGGGTGATGAGATTGTATAGGAGCTTCTTCCCAACACTTGGGGTTGAGAAATCAAGGTACCACAAATGCATGGATTTGTTTCTGACTTTGCATCAGTAGGTGTTTGTCTACTTTTACAAATTTAGTAACTGTGTGGTATAAAACAATTTTGATCCTAGTGCTGTATGTGAGAAGACCTGAGATGAGAGAAGGTAGCTGCATGCCGGCGTGTGGAGTTCCTCTCCATGCTTGGCAGGGAAGGAAAAAGCAAAGAGTTTTTGTCTAAATTGCAGTTGCTCGCTGTCTGCGGCTCGGTGCCTCACTTGGGAAGAGCAATGTCTGTTTTTCTGGCTCTGAGCTGTCCAGGGAGATTCCTTGACATTTTGGTGAAATTCTGAGTTGTGATTTCTCCAGACGCCAGGCTTAATCTTTTCACTCTGTCAGCGTGCAGCAGCCTGACAGCCGTCTGTTCCTGAGAATACGGTGGCATTTCAGGTTTGGAGACTCAGTTGCTGTGACACCCCGATTTCAAATACCTTTCTCACTGCTCTGGAGGTTTATTTACTTGTTTATTTGGCTGGGTTGAGCTGCAGGAGTTCAAATTCACAGCTGGCTGGTCTTATAGGGAGACTGACAGTTTGCTTGAAACTGCCCTGGCCTGCACCTCGGTAGACAGCAGCACAGTTTGCATTTACACAGTACTTTCTTTTTCAATTAGGATGCTGAAGTGCTTTTCAAAGGGTAAGTTTCCACATGTGTCCTCTTTTTACGCAAGATCTCTAGTTTTTACCAAAGAGCACTGACCCTGGTCCTTATTGTGTTCTCATGAATAGATTCTCTTGACTCCTACTTTTCTCCAAATGTCATTTTAATGAGATGGAGGCAAGAGATTAAAAAAAAAAAAACAGTTTTGCTTATGAGCACTTTTTAAGAAACTCAAAGCATTTACCCAAGTATAGCACCACATACAGCAGGTTGGCACACTGTTTTCGAAGAAGAGATCCACAAGCTCTTGATTCCTTACACAGAATAACAAACACAAAAGAATATGAGCGGGAAAAACACTACTTCATACTGTTCA